TAATTAAGTGATAAAAAGCAGTTGCAAATGTTGTACAAAAATAAATATACTAATCTTTGCAGCAATAAAATGTGTAGAGCTTTGTTTTACTACCAAATTATATGTAATTTATTATTATTCATATTTAACTTACATTGGAAAGGTTTCCGTGACCTCTCGTGCAATCTTGGCAAAAAGTCTCATGATTTATTTCCAGAACATGATGCATGATGGGATACACTAAGCCTCGAATAGCGCTCCGGAGCGGTATTCGAGATAGTGTGGGTTTAGTGTGCGTTAAGGGGACTGCGCTCTGGAGTTTTTAAGATCTGGGACAGTCTTGCGCACTTACTTCCTGTCGCACGCACGCGCTCTCAAATGGCCAAGACCGCAAGTGTGGGTATTTGGACAAGGGGTAAATAAATTTTTAAATACAAAGAGAGTATGTTCATTTTAGTTTATATTCATGGTGTCCCAAAATAGCACAGTTGAGTACACTTAGATGATCTAAAGTTTATCTTAAGAAGTACTAAAGAATCATTTTTAGTATATTAAGTACAAAATTAGTGCGTGAAAATAGAGCACTTTAAGTACACTATGGAAGTGTACTTTTTTTTTCACCTGGGGCATGCAAGAGACTCCTCCACCACTAGAGGGAGCCGTAACATTAGCAGTTTTGAACATGATGTAGGTAGATTATTTTGTGTAAATCGGCTGAAGAACTCCTACCACTAACGAATACAAAATTAAGAAATAGGGAACATAATCTTGAATTCAGTTATCTTATTTGAGGTCAGTATCCATTTTCAGGTTATGAAGACAGATCTTACTCTCGGGTCGTGGCACTCCTGTTCCACCTAAAAAGGGAGAACGTCAATAAGGTAAAAAGGAATTGTCAGACTTAATAAATAATGGTTCATTTACAGTAAAGTACAAATAAAAGCTAAATACAAACCTGGTACAGTTCCAGAGACACCTAAAACATGAAAAAAGGTCATTCATTTAGTAATTTTGTGTTGACGTATCTCTTCAAATCCCATTTTCAATACTTCATTAGCAATTACAAATCATTCTGAACATGCAATGTATTTTGATATGTATTTGTTATTTTTTGTGTTATGTGGTTTTGCTTGGCTATATTATGGTCTTCATGAATAACCAGCTCTTACATAGTACACTGGTGGCAATAATATTACTTCATTCAACTATAACTATGAATAGCTTCTTTTAAGAATAGTTTTGCCAATACTAGGCCTACTACCACCACTACTACTACTACTAATATTCATAGTAAAAGTTTTGACACAGTTTCTTCTGTGGACCAAAATGCAAAATTTTTAAAGAATATTCTGGCAAAACATACAAGTATCATAAAAGTGAAGGGTGGAAAAGAAGGTACCAGTGGCAGGACCTGGCACCTTAAAATCCATCAAGTACATCCTCTTTCCCCCTATCCATTCAGTGTTAAAGATAATAAAAGCATGATTTATGGTGCAGTTTAATCTATGCTTCAAACTAGAAACAAAGCTGTATAACCCAAAATAGTATCAATGAATAATGCAGTTGAGTAGTGAATTGTGAATAGTGCAGTTGGCCAGAGATTGTGTCTGAACAAACATAATCTGGTGAACTTTTTATGTCTGTAGGCTTGTCTGGGTTTTTGACTATGTCACAGAAGATGCAATGTATGCTTTTTATTCTATGTAAATTAAATGTGAGCTACAAAAAGAAAACACACTGACGAAAAATAGATGACAAACTGCAAAGGATGATGTCTACAAGCTCACTGAAAAGGAAGGGTCTACCTGGTTTTTCTCCAGCTAAGATGGGTATTCCTGTCCCAGCAACCCCATCAAGTCCATCAGCATCAATGGACCCACCAGTAACACCTGAAAAATATTACATGCTGCTCAGTTTCTATCCTTTTAAAAAGTTGGAAATCCAACTTAAAATACCACCTCCAATAGACCCACCTGATCCCTCTATTGGTCCGCCATATTCTGAAATAATCACAAAATAAAACTGGTGGCTAAAAGGTGAAAATGCCTCTTAATTTTTTCTTACATTGTCAAAAGGACAATTGTTTTATTCTAGTTGATGGGATCAGATGGGATGTAAAAAAAAATATAATAAAAAAAAAGAAAGAAATTAAAAAAATTAACTTTTCTTACCAGTCTTGGGAGCTTTTGTTCCACCTGTGTGTTCAACAAAATGTTAAAATTACAACTCAGGAACAAACAAATTAGCAGCTAAATAACAAATAATAGATACAATAAATATCTATAATAGAGTAAAAGAAAAAAAGGTAATAACCTTGACCTTCTCCAGCACCACGGGTTGCATCATAAGGACTGCCAATCACTAACATGGAACAGGTAAGACTGATAGTTATTATGGTCTACTATTATGGATGTTACGTATATGTATCTTAATGTACATTCCAAATGAACTGCATTACCTCCATCAACTCCAGGTTTAGGTCCTACTCCACGATCTGTGCCGGTAGCAGCTGTACTTCCTGGAATTGCTGTTCCTCCTATGATGCCTGGTACCCCGGATTTAAATTGAAAATTGGAACAGCAATATTTTACTGGAGATATGGATGGTTAGATGATATAACCATAGATTGCCAACTCACCATATTTGTCTGGCTTGGTTCCTGAAACTGGTGTGCCTCCAGCCCCACCTACACCACCTGTGATGTAATGCTGAGCATGTAAACACATTCCTATTTGTATCTATTACCTGTTATTTAGTTCTCTTTTAGCAGTTATTATCACCAGTTCCAATTCCGGTTCCTGTGGCCCCAGTTCCACCAGTTGCTGGTACCGACCCACCCAACGCACTTCCGACCCCACCAGCTGGTTGTCCTAGATGGAATGCATGGGGTCAAATCTTAGTCTCTATACATGTGATATTTTAATTATAAAAATTAAGTACCAGAAGTGGTTTACCATATTTAGGTGGTTTTTGTGCTCCTCCATACCCTTTAGAATAAAATTAACAAAACAGCAGGTTCACCCACCAATGGTTAGATGACATACTTCAATTTTAGTAATTAGTATTTCACATCTAATGAAAGTTTTTAAAATTTTACCTCCATATCCAACACCGGTCCCAAGCCCTCCAGGCAGAACTAAAAAAGACAAGTATCATGTATGTATTTATTTATTTATTTGTTTGAATTGTATGGACAAAAAATATATATATATATACTGAGACATTTCTCAAATTGATTTATGTTCCACTGAAGAAAGAATGTCATGTAGTTTTGGAACAAGTTAATATAAGTACAGATTTTTTTTGATGGAGTGTCCCTTTAACCAAAAAACCCCCCCAAAAAAACAGTTGCATGTCAAATTAATTCACATACCGCCAGGACCTCCTACCAATCCTGTTCCAGCTCCTGGTACACCTCCTGCTCCCAAGACACCTCCAGATCCAGGTAAACCTTTCAAGATATGCATGGGTTTAGACTCTGTTAATGTTGTATCATTTCAAGGCAAGCATTTTATATTTACCCTTGATAAATATTAGTAATGTGCATTAAACATAAATATGTGTTTGAAAAAATACATAAATTAATATTAAATTATGTTTCATCATTATAGTCATAAAATATGTGGTAACATTTTTGACAAATTGAATATACTGTACATTAATCAATGATCAAGAGCCACTTGCAATATACATGTAAATGTATGTAGTGTGTTTCAACTTGCCATATTTAGCTGCTTTCGATCCAGGTCCATATCCTATAAGACATCACATGTAATTAATTGAAAGATAAGTTGACCAGGTACAGTTTTAATAATACGGATTTTCTAATTCCTGTGTAAATGACTTTGACTGGTTTAAATTACCTCCAGCACCTGTTCCATACCCAGGCCCAAGCCCTCCTCTGCTTCCTGCTCCGACAGCACTACCAGGAAGTCCTGCTCCTGTAAATCCAGACCCGTGGCCTCCTACAGTCCCTGGACCATAACCACCAACTGGCCATGCCCCCGTTCCAAATCCTCCTGCTGGACCGGTTCCTACCTGACCCTGTAGACCAAGTCCTGTAGCTCCTCCACTACCACCAGGACCTACACAAGGATTAAAATAATTTAACAAATGTTAATGCCATATTGCACAAAAAAAAAACATGATGCCATAATGACTTTAAAATATCCTACCATATTTTAGGGCCTTTGGTCCACCTGGATATGCTGCATTGGATACAAAATATTAATGCAGATATGGAAACAAACAGAAAGCATAAACTGCATATATGTAATAAAATGTTTGTCAGCATACCTCCAGAGCCAGGTCCATATCCTCCAGCAGGTACTCCTCCTGGCCCATAACCACCTACAGGTGCCCCTCCAGGTCCGTAGCCACTGATTGGTGCTCCTCCTGGTCCATAACCACCAAATGGTGCCCCCCCAGGTCCAATTCCTCCAGCAGCTCCAACACCTGACACTGTTCCACTACCAAGTGACCCTCCTAATCCTCCAGGCAATCCTGTTCCACCAGCTCCACCAGTAATCCCTTTTTGCAAAATGCAAAAATAAAATGTCATTTATAATTTGTATTTTTCTACATGGATAATAAAATTTGGAGATTATTTAACTTTGCCATACCATATTTGCGAGCTTTGGCCCCAGCGTATCCTAAAATATAAGAAGTCAATATTATAGAAATATGATTTAGCAGTGGTTAAAGCTATGTACAGTTCTTGTTATGAAACCTGAAATGTCATATTTTTATAAAGTGTTCAAATATGAGCACAGCAAGATTTTTATGGCTTGTGCTTCTATGGAAACCTCAAATGATCCAATCTTTACCTCTCTTCACCTGCTGATAAAAATACTCTAATCTAACAACTTCAAGAAGTCTCCTCAAAAAACCTTGGCCAGGCCAGTGTTATGAGGCATAACTGCACAATGGTGAGCTACAGAGAAAGAAGAGCAGAGTATCGAAATACTACTTATGCTTAAAATCAACATCTGGTAGATAATCAACACTGTGCTCTAACCACACTAAACCTACATTACAGTGTGCTTGAATGATACAGTTATCCACTTGGATAACACTGATGAGACATTAGAATGTGCTCAAGAATGCAATGGCTAAATTTAGTCAACCAAAAGAAAGGTCATCTGGGGATATACTTGGCTGGACATGCTACTTAGGTTTCCAGATTGGCCAGGGTTTAATTAAACTCTAAAAAAGGTTGAAGCTATCATTTTCTTATGATATTGCAGTACTATGGTTGGTGAGTTATTAGTGATGCTTTGTGCCTGTCTGTCCCTGAATTTGTGCAAAAAGAATTATGTATCTTGTATTCCCTTTCTCCTTCTCTTCTTTAAAGGGGTCATATGATGCGATTAAAATTTTTCCTTTCTCTTTGGAGTGTTACAAGCTCTTGGTGCATAAAGAAGATCTGTAAAGTTGCAAAGACTAAAGTCTCAAATCCATAGAGATATTCTTTATAAAAGTTAAGTCAACCACGCCTACCTAAAATGGCTCATTCTAACACGCCCCCACATGTCTACATCACGATGTGGGAAGATTGCATAACGCCGCCCAAATGTTCAAGTAATAATGTTCTTTTTAGCAACATCATATGACCCCTTTAAAAATATACTACAACAGTACATGAGAGTAAACTACACTCTAAGAAAAGTAGGGTAGTAAAAATAGGGCACAAGTCAAGTCACCTTTATTTTTATAGTGCTTTATATAACTGTTTCAAAGCAGCTTTACAGTATTAAACAGGAAAGTAGCAGAATCAATGATGCAAACTTCAAAGTTAGGCAAATCAAAATTCTGCTGTAAAGCAGCTGTAGCAAGACAATTATTCAGCAATATTATTGTTATTATTCAGTGCCAGTCAGTATTTATTTATTATTATACAGCGCCAGTCAGTTCAGCGTTGAAACAAGTTAATTTCAGCTATAAGCATCTCTACTGAAGACAGTGGTATCGTTATTCAGTTCGAGTCAGGTCAATGTTTATTCAGTTTGGTTCAATAACCAATGTCAATGTCAATTCAACCAACCAGTGTCAATGTTGCCATATTCATCAATTTTGAATAAATTTGATTTAGATATTTAGCAGAAGACAACAGTGTCATTGTTTTTTAGCCCAGTGTTTGAAATCTTTAGAAACTCTAGGAGATTTACCTCCAGGTCCAAATGCACTTCCAGGAACACTACCAGGTCCAAGCCCACCACCGGGTACACCTCCTGGACCAAAACCCACACCAGGGACACCTCCTTGTCCAGCCCCAGTTCCTAGTATAATCCCTGCCCCACCTGGTCTGACACCAGTGCCTGGTAATCCACCTGGAATACCTGCAGCTAATCCAGTGCCTGGACCTAAACCAGCACCTCCACCGAGTAGACCTAGAAAAATAAAAATAATATTTAAGGTTGTAAGCTAAGTAAAGTTTGGATAATAAATGATATCAATAAAACCAACACAATTCATTTAACAGTGCAGTATGCTGAAGCATTGAATTAAAGGTTGTTTTACCATATTTACGAGCTTTTGCCTCTGCATATCCTGCAAAGCATCAGAATATTTAATATTAAATATGACCTCAAATCTTTATTGTAAACTTTATGTTGTACAATATGATGGTATGATTTAGGTACCATTTCCAGAGCCGGGGAGTCCTCCAGCACCACCGCTAGGAAGACCACCAACTCCAAAAGGCAGTCCACCAGCTCCTCCACCAGGTAATCCACCAAATCCACCTCCAGGTAGCCCTCCAAATCCGCCTCCAGGTTGTCCACCAATCCCAAGACCACCACCAGGTAGTCCACCAAGTCCAACACCAGACACACCGGCTGCTCCACCTGGCAATCCTCCTGTACCTAAAGTCCCACCTAGACGTCCAAGCTGAGCTACAAAGGATTTATCAGTGAATATCAATGTCTTACATTTCTTTAGGTTTCTGTGACTGGTAGAATTTCACAAATGATATATGCAATAAAATAATCAAATCTAAGCACAGTAATGTATTATTATATTATATTATATTATATTTATTATATTATTAGGATTGGATTTGGCCTGTGGGACACTAGGAGCCCTGATGTTAGGTATACAATATATACTAAATCATTAAGAAACATGTTAAAATAATTTTCCTTTTTAACAATAAAAAGAGCCAAACAATAGAGCCAAAAATTAAGTCTGGAGTTTTGATGAAACTCAGTCTTATTTTTTAGGATGGAAATATAAATAAAAACCCTGTTCAGACACACCTTCCTGCAATTTTTAAGTAATTCTCAGCACCTTGTGTGTTTGATTAGGGTCGGAGCTAAGGTACTGTAACTCTCCAGGAGCAGGGTTGGCTATCCCTGTGCTAGAGCTAAATTGTATATTTATGGACAATTTATGGAAATTGAAGACAATTACAATGTTGATTTGCCAATAACAAGATCTACAGTATTTCATTGTAAAATGCAAAATGTAAAGTCATACCATATTTTCTTGCTTTGGCTGCAGCATATCCTAAAATATGGCAGAATAGTAGATATCATTGTGCTGCTAATGATAATAACTTTGAAAACAAAACAAGGTAATTTTCAGGATACCTTCAGGACCAACTCCAGGTCCAGGGATTCCACCAGTGCCAAGACCACCAACTCCCAAACCAGAACCAGGAAGTCCTCCAGCTCCAAGGCCACCCACACCCAAACCAGAACCAGGAAGTCCTCCAGCTCCAAGACCACCCACTCCCAAACCAGAACCAGGAAGTCCTCCAGTTCCAAGACCACCCACTCCCAAACCAGAACCAGGTAGTCCTCCAGCTCCAAGACCACCCACTCCCAAACCAGAACCAGGAAGTCCACCAGTTCCTATGCCGAAAGCTAGAAAATAAACAACCCAAAATTGCATAGAAATTAAGATGAAACTCTGTTTTTATATATGTTTTTATATATGTTGCATGATAAACATCAATCCAGTTTAAATCCATGTTTAATTTGGCTTTTTCTACTTTAACTTATTTTTTACAAGGCTTAATATTTAAGATTTGGATTCCCCCTGATATCCACTGTAATTTTTTCCATGAAAGAGACAGTTGTCAGCCAGGTGATTATATATATAAAATGAATCTAGAAGCTTTCTTACCATACTTTCGAGCTTTTGCCCCAGTTCCTAATGAGAGACAATCCGTGGATATTATAAGACTTAAGCAAATTTCAATGTCTTAGATAATCCTGAAACATTTCTCTATTTGTAATAAATCATAAATTTACCCCCAGGATAGGAACCACCAGCTCCCGGATATAGGACACCTGGAGTTCCACCGCTAGCTCCAGGAATGACTCCGACACCTGGAACACCAGCTGCACCTGTAACACCGCCTATTCCTGGCACACCACCTGCACCAGGTATGCCACTTATGCCTGGAACAACACCTGCACCTGGTATACCACCTGCACCAGGTATAACTCCAAGCCCACCACCGAGACCCGGAACACCACCAGCCCCTGCAAGGAGAGTCAGCAATATCAAGCATGTTGTTTAGACATACAGTGGTGTGAAAAAGTGTTGGCCCCCTTCCTGATTTCTTATTTTTTTGCATATTTGTCACACTTTAATGTTTCAGATCATCAAACAAGTGTGACAAACATGCAAAAAAATAAGAAATCAGGAAGGGGGCCAACACTTTTTCACACCACTGTATATTGAAATTCTTGTTCCTAAGAAAGTCTTAATTTTTTTCCTGCATGACTTACCGTACTTGGCAGCTTTAGCCTGAGACTTAGCAGCGCTTGTACCTTACATGGAGTAAGAAAGTACATTTCTATAAATACTCTAAAATTCTGTAATCATATGGCAAATAACTTGATTTTAAATAATGAGAAGCTAATGTAATTGGCTGACAAGTATAATTTGTGTTGGTTGATCTCAAATGTAAATAACTACAATGGATAAAGGGATAGATGTTTAAATGCATGCTACCTCCAGACTTTGGTGATATAAGAGGATATCCACGGAACACGCCTGGTATTTGTTGACCAAATCCTCCACGGCCTCCTGAAAGAGAAAAGATAAGTGAGCTCTGTTAGAAGTAGTTTTCATAACTTTTATTGAAAGGACTGTTCTTTCAGTTACTTATTTTACCATTAGCTCCAAGTGCACCTTGACCAAGCTGCCCTATAAACAAAAAATATTTTAATTGCTGGATAAATCTATCAATTATAAAACTATAAACCACATAAATCTTACCAGTTTGAGATCCTGTGGCTACACCTGGCAGAATGCCTCTACCGCCAAAACCTACATATAAAAACAAAAATGTAAATGTCATATCTGTATGAATATTCAGTTACACTTTATTTTTAGGTGTCCTTGTTAGAGTGTAATTATACATATAAGTACTGAGTAATATTAATTAACTACATGTACTTACTATATGGTTAGGGTTAGGATTATGGTTTGGCTTAGTGTTACATGCATGTAATCGTGCATAATTAATTGTTATCATAATAGTAAGTAAATGTAACGTGTAACAAGGACACCTTAAAATAAAGTGTTACCAAATATTCTAGAAACAGTGGAAAATCTCATAACGGTCAAATATTTCAGTCACCCACCTTGTCCAGGAACTATACCCCCTTGGTATAGCCCAGGAATCCCAACACCTTGTTTGTTTGGAGAAAGAAAAAATAAAACAATTCTTTCTTGTCAAAGATTTGATAAAAAATATTCCAACAAAAGGGGAGCTCCATTAATAGACACAGTTACCTGGCACTGGTGCCTTCCCAAACTTTCCGACTTTTCCCCCAGCACCTGTCCCAGTTCCAGTTCCTGCTAAGCCAGTTTGAGGGAGAAAAGGTGCTAGGAGCCAAAATGGATTGAAAAGTTGCAAAGGTTAAAAGTTGCAAGTAACTGCAAACAGCAGTAGCTTAACAATTATGTCCCTCAAAACCTACCTCCACCAGGTGCAACTCCTGCTCCTCCAATTCCAGTTCCAGTGCCACCAGGTCCAATTCCTACACCTCCAGGCCCAAATCCAGCTCCACCTGGACCAATTCCTGTGCCACCCGGTACAATTCCTACACCTCCAGGCAGAACTCCCGTACCCCCAGGTCTAAGTCCTGTGCCGCCTGGACCAATTCCTACACCTCCAGGTCCAATTCCTATTTCATCAAATCCAGCATGTGTTGATACAATTTAAATATGTTTTTTGAAAAAGTGTATTCAAGTTTCACACCTTCATTTAAGCCAATACTCATGTCCATATATCTAGCTTTACCTGGTTTTGGTGGTTTCTGACCAGTTGTTCCAGCTCCAGGATAAGTACCATATCCACTATAGCTACCTAAAAACAAATTCCATTTTTAAAGCAGCAGATAATATTCCTTTATAATTTAACCCCCTCAAAATTCACTTTTAACTAGTCATCTTTAAATGTATTCCTTTTTATTGTTTATTATGTTATTTCATGGCTACAACACATAAGGAAAGGAAGTATATTCTTACCACCTGATGGATAGCCTGTTCCAGCACCTCCAGGTGTAAGTGGAATAGCACCTGCTCCAAGACTTCCTGTTCCAAACGGTCCACCACCAAAACCCCCAGGCCCACCATAACCTAAATTTACACCATCTGAGGTAAATGCATTTTGAACCACTGACAATATACTGCTTTCTGACTGCAATAGCTATAAGAATTAATAAGAAATAGTGATGTTCACAACAAAAACAATGGATTTTAATTATGCGTGCACTTTTTTTTATTGTGGTTGCAGAACACTTTTAAATTCAGATCATACCTGGTTTCCCAGGTTTTCTGCCTGCTCCTATGATAAGGCAAAATTGTTTTGTTTATTTTTATCAAATAGTGCTATGAACAGAATCACAAAAGCAGTAATAAAAACTCTTGTTGTGTCTACTGTTGATTAAAAAGATGTCTTACCAGGACTCAAGACACCTGGTCCAACACCACCAGGGACAATGCCACCTGGCCTGAAGCCACCTGGTCCAACACCACCAGGGATAATACCACCTGGTCCAACACCACCAGGGACAATGCCACCTGGCCTGAAGCCACCTGGTCCAACACCACCAGGGATAATACCACCTGGTCCAACACCACCAGGGACAATGCCACCTGGTCCAATGCCACCAGGGACAATGGCACCAGGTCCTATACCTCCAGTGCTGACACCTCCTGGGCCATAACCACCAAGACCTCCATAACCTGAAAATAATGTGTATATATTTAAATATTTAGAGTGAAGCTACCTTTAAATTCCTCAGTGAAGATGAAACACTGCATATTACAGATTGCCCACCTGTTTTGGGTGGTTTTCCTCCCACACCTAGAAGCAGGAAAGGGAAAAAATAACGGTACTAAACAAAACTTAAAATATTTAGAATTAAGCTTTTAAATATCCATATATAGTTACTAGCATTTGTTTTAATTTTCTAACCTCTTCCAGCACCTACTGGACCAGCTCCACCAGGGCCAAACCCTCCCACCCCAGTGCCCACACCTGACAAAAAATTATAGAATTCTCTGTTGTAAGAAACATCACCATAAAAGATTGCTTAACTTTCAAACAACGGAGTTTCTCTACCAGTTTTTCTACCTTGTCCAGGTATTCCTGTGCCAGTGCCACTAGCTCCAGGACCAACACCAAAGCCACCCGGTACTACACCTCCAAGGCCAGCACCCCCTGGCCTAAGTCCAAGGCCACCAAGACCTCCAGTTCCAAGAGTGCCTAGAATACTCCCATAACCTGTTTGTATGAAGCAAGACTCATGCAAGTATTAATCAAACCAATACATTATTTGCTTAATTTAATGCATGTAGTTGAAATTGTAAATGTATGTGAACACTTTATTGACTGCAGTTTTCTCCCACTCACCTGGTTTAGGGGGTTTGCCACCAGCACCTACAGACAGAATAAAGTAAGATGAAATTAAAAAATGCTTGAGATCAATCAAAAGTCTAACCATTTAAATATCCACCACCCTAACAACAAATATGAATTTGCAGTGTTTATTTGGATCAGCTTCACTGAGGTATTCTACAATCCCTAGCAGAGACTAGCAGAACCTTATATGAAACAGTTCAGTTAAGTTTGATTGCGTATTAGTAAAATGACATTCTGAGAAATATTACCTGCTCCAAGGCTCCAAGTTCCAACACCAGCACCAATTCCTCCAGGTCCGACACTTCCTGGTCCAGTTCCTATGGCACCAGGTCTAATGCCACCAGGTCCTATGCCACCAGGTCCTATTCCTCCTGGTCCAATGCCTCCTGGACCAATGCCAGAAGGACCAAATCCTCCAGGTGCAAGTGATCCAGGACCAACACCTGTACCACCAGGTCCAAATCCTGGTAGACCTCCATATCCTCCTGTGTTTACACAATGAATTTCTCGTCTGATAAGGCAATGTCTCTGCCAATCTTTATTATTAAAATTAATCCCAACTTTTAGCATGCGTTACATCGCACCTGTTTTAGGTGGCTTGACGAATGACCCTGTGGAAAAGATCAAATTCATGAAATCATTTTTGTGCCTCAATAGCATGACCCTAAATAGTTAAATATGTTAATTACAAAATGATAATTATGTTAATTACCGTTTATGGTACATTTCAGTACCATAATATGTAAAGGAAATTTCATTAACCTGTCCCGAGGCCTCCGGTGCCTAATCCACCAGTACCAAGTCCTCCTGTACCAAGCCCTGCACCACCAGGCCCAACTCCCCCAAGCCCTGCACCCAGTCCAGCACCTTGCACCCCAGCACCACCACCTCCAAAGCCTATTACAAGTTAGACAAGTAAATATTAATTTAATCAAACTTAAAATGACTAATTAGGAGAAATTTAGCCACTCACTTCCTGTCTTTCCTGGTTTGAAACCAAGTATTCCTCCAACTCCTGGTAAGTAAATAAGTTAACAAATAAAATGATTGTATTAGATACATAATACAATACAATACATAATACAATATTCTTTATTAGTTGCTAATTTATTAAAGATTATTATAGCACTGATATGGAAGCTATGGACATTAATTGCACATGAAATGTTTAAGAATAAATGTAAATTATCACCAGTTCCAGGTCTGATTCCAGTTCCTGGCCCTATTCCAAGACCACCTGGACCTAATCCCGTTCCAACTCCTCCAGGACCAATTCCTGGCCCAACACTTCCGATTCCAGCACCAAATCCTCCTCCTGGGCCTGTTCCAGCACCAAGTCCAGCTCCAGTTCCAAGACCAACCCCTAATCCAGCTCCAGTTCCTCCCCCTGCACCAGCTGGTATGTAGATTCCTGAGAGAGAAAGTGAACATTAATAATTCCTTTATTAATGTGTCCTGTTCATGATAGCATGCCAGATAAAGAAATAACCAAGCATTTAGTTGTGTGTTCTTGTATGTATTTGAGAAACCTGAAGAGGAAAATAAAGAGAATATTTTCTAAAACATTATTATATTGAACAGAGTAGATATTACCAAATTTCTGCGAACATCACTGTTTGCACTGCAAACCCATACTTCTTTTATTAGACAACGATGCGTAGTAGGATCTAACTACTGCAACACATTACCAGTTTATGAGGACCATTCTTGTCCTTTACTCAGTGATGATGCCACTTACCCAGGGGGTTCTAACTAATCTCGCATCTAGTCTTTCATGTGAAGCCTCAAACAGCACCGAATGCATTACCACATGAGTTTCTGTGTCCTCCTGCCTTGCTGTTTAAGGTTTGGAGGCATAGGGGAACAGAGAATGGATGTGATTCAGACGAAGAACAACATCCTATACATGACCTCTTCCAAGAGCTTAGAACTAAAAAGCTGAAGTCATCTGTTCTACAAACCCACTGGGAAATGCTTGTAGGTTGTTAGTATATGATGTAATGATCTGGATTAGTATTTCTCAGATCATTCCTTCTACATGAATAAAAGATGGCAAGTGGAACCCACTTCCATAAACATAAACAGTGACTTCAAATCTTTAAAAAAAAAAGTAATTTATTTGAATCAAAATCCATCTGGTTTTATGGAGTACTAATTGTGATTGTATCAAATTAAACTTAAATATACATTGAAAACTTTAACCAAATGCATCATGTTTCACTGATATGTTACATACTTCACTGATATTTAGTTTTATTCAATAATAAAAAAAATAATAGAAAATCAAAATAATAGAAAGTGCTATCTCAGCTCATTTTAAATGGACAGCTTGTAACTTTACTAAACTACAAGTTGGCAATGTTTCCTCACCATCATACATTTTTAAGTATTAAGATTTAAAGATCATGCAGGAACGAGACCTGAGTCAAAGTTCATTGACACAGTAAATCATCCTGCAAAAATACACTATAGCAGTACACTCAGTACAGCACTTTTAATTCAAGTTGCATACTTTTTATAATCAATCCTTTACCTGAACCTAGAACATTCAGAACACAGACAACAAAGTACAGCCTAAGTGCATCCACTGTCAGCAGTGTGCAACTAAATTTAAAAGAATGTGATGCTATTGCCAAAACTGCAATACACCTGTAATGCCACGAGACAGAAAAAGCCAAATAAGTTTGGAGAGACCTTACCTCCTTGAAGTGAGGGTTTACACAGAACCAGCAGGAGAAATCCATGCAAGAGCAGAGGTACCTTACTCCAGGCCATCCTGCTCTGTAATATCCCTCTCCACTCCCAAACTGTGGGTTTTATCCCCCAAAAGCAAATCACTGCACACCCATGTCTTGAACAAGAAGAATAAGGGGTGGGGGGCCAGTATGAAAGAGAGAAAAAAAGAAAGTAAGGATGGAGGAACACTACGTAATTAGGGAAACTAGCACACTTGGGTCTTGTACATTATGTTTTTTTTTCTGTTTTTTCTAACCCCACCCCTAGCCCCCCTAAATGACTAGTGCTAGTGCATTTATTTGGGTCACCTCTGCCAACATGAGTCAAAGCATTGGCCAAAAAATAAAGACAGATATTTGAGGATAGGGGGAGAGAGAAAATCTCTCTCACTCTCTTAACATCTACCTCACCAAGAGAAACATCTGCCAGATATTCTCATGGAGAGTATTTCTTTTTTATCCAATCAAAAGCAGTAAGAAATCACTCCAGATAAGGTTATTACATGATATATTGTTTCCAGCTATGGGGGTGTAAGTAACATTTAAGGACCGGACCCATCATTCAATCATTCAAGAAGGAAGATTGCTCACCTCTGAGGTTTAAAGTCATTTGGCCAGGCTCCAGGGATCACTCTATTGTTATTAACTTATGAGTCCCAGAGGAACACATGAAATCATGTATGTGATGGAAAAACACTGAATGGGTGTGTGTTGGAACACATTATTGAAGGTTGACAACACAGATTTTAATAACCCCTGTAGCCCCAAAGCCTTTAGATCCAACTGGGATGTTGACGGCTAAATCATGAAGACTTTTGAAATAATGGTGCATCCTTAATGGTCCAATGTGACCTCTGAGAATGGAGGCTTACAATAGGGACCAATACATAAATGGCCTTTTCATAATTAAGTTGTTTCTCTCCTTAATGGGCAATAAATTGTAATGTACTTCAAACTTCAAACAGTCTTTTAGGCTGAATGACGTCCAGAATATCTGACAATAAGAGTATGAGTCACACATTACGCTAAAGCTGCTGTAAGCGTCATTCACTAGCTTAAAATTTTCCTCTATCTTGACAGTCATTTGTTATATTTGATATAATTTTTTCCATGTTTTATGAAATTGTTTCTTCTCCAAAGGTGCCACTCCATATGGTCACTTACACTCACTTACTTACATCTACGCAACTGCCTTTTAGATTGTTGGATTCTTGCATATACATAAATTCTGGCAGTTTGTGTCAAAATTTTGTAAAGAAACCAAGGGGGTTTTCTGGAAAGGCACCATATCCCCCTCCCCACCCCTTGCTGAGTTTTAAACCGAGATTGTCTAGCACTCCTTGTTTGGTCTGGAGGAGTTTTGCCAAAAAGTCTGCGTTCAAGCACTAGTTGTGTTTCAGGCTATTGGCAAAGAATAAGATTAGGTCATTCCTCTACTGATAGACACTTTTTTTATTTCAATGTAAAACCATGTACATGTGGATTCCTTTTTGTGTTTGTGTGTGTGTTTGGAGGTTGAGAGGGGAAGTGTTGGCAAGAAGCATATCTCACTAATTAAGAATAAAGAATGAATGGATGGTCTTTACTTTCCAAGCCACAAAAGTAAACAACATCAAGATCCATAACATAAGAAAGCATCGACAACTAATCATTTAAAGGCACCTGCTAGTTATAAAAAGATATAATAATGAGTCTGTCTCTGTAAATTTGCATCATTATATATAGGACCAGATTTTTACTCTTTCTGAAAAAGTAAGTGGTGTTTTCCTGTGCAAAGCTTGATTATTTTTTCTTTTGTTGCTGTGATTTTTTTGAAGCTAGGCATTCTGAAAAGGGGTTGGTATGGATGCTAGGGTATTGTGATTCAGTTACTAGGCTGTTCTGAAAGCTTGCTTAAGCATTGCCAGATGCTTGCTAGGGGGTTGCTTGGGTGTTGCTATTCAGTTTTTAGGGCATTCAGATACATGGTGCTGTGTGGGTGCTAGAGTGTTCTGGGTTGTTGCTAGGGTGTTGTTTTAGGCCATTCGGAGATGGAGTTGCTATTTGGTTCCAGGGTGATGGAGTTTCTAGGCTGTTCTTTGAGCTTATAGGTGCTCTAGTGGTTACTAGGGTGTTGCAAGGCGCCTTCTAGAGTATTATGGGTGGTTGTTAGGTAGTTGGTAGAGTGTTGTTTACTGGTCAAAAAAACAGTTGAGTCACAAATGATGACACACTATGCACTTATACTATGCACTCTACATGTAGTGTATGAATTTTATAAGCTTATTTTGTTGTCCAGCATCATCAATAGGGATTTTGCGACTGTTGAGAACATGAAGTGTCCAACATTCCACACTTTATTATTTTTTTTCACATCATCTGGGTATTTGAATTGCACATTTTCTTGTTGGAATTCACACTAAGTTTCTGAGATATTATAATCTCCCATTCTCTACCCTAGTGTAGGTCTTTTTTTGTTTTGTTTTGTTTTTGTTTTGTTTTATGGTCCACCTGGAACAAATTATTGTAAGTCGGATTGCTTAAAAAAGTACCAGCACACATTTAATCAAAAAGCTTCACAATTTTGAGCTGTTACTCATGTCCATAGCACAAATAGTTTAATTATTAGAGTATTGAATATAATCTCCCATTCCTAACCCTAGTGTGGTCTTTTTTTGGTTTTGTTTTGTTTTGTTTTGTTTTATGGTCCACCTGGAACAAATTATTGTAAGTCGGATTGCTTAAAAAAGTACCAGCACACATTTAATCAAAAAGCTTCACAATTTTGAGCTGTTACTCATGTCCATAGCACAAATAGTTTAATTATTAGAGTATTGAATTTCTTTGAATATAATACTAAAATTGATGGTTGCGCAAAGTAAGCAATACTAAACAGGACTACATGATGCTCATGAGAGGCAATCCCCTCTGTCTTTTATGAAAGGTTTCCCATATTAACACAATGTGAACATGATATCCAATATGCAGACAGTTTTAAAACAAGCTGAATGCTATATTTGGCATGGGTGAAAAGCGATAAGCCTGCTATCTGCTGACCCAGTTACACTCTGATTCAGGGGTTGACAGCTGATTCAGCCAAATGTCAAAAGTGTTTTTTTGTTTTTAGAGAGAGAAAGAGAGAGAGAGAGAGAGAGAGAGAGGTGGTGGATATATAGTGGAATAGGGTGTTTTCTCTGTCCGTAATTGGACAGAAAGTGTTTTACTGCCTTTCACAAAACATGGTTGAAATGGTTTTACATGGATACTTTGATGGAGTAACATAGTTATGTGGTGAAACATGCATGGAATAAAAAGAAGGAGAGAGAATAAGATAGATGTCTCTCCTAAGCTGATAAAGCAATTTGAAGAAAAGCTTGAGAACAAGGTGTCATTGATAAGGCTTGATCTAATAAAAACGCATGCAGACTTGGCATGTGATTTGTTTTGCAGTGGATCTCTGACCTAAAAACTCTATCAAGTAATACAAATATCTCCAATACCACACCGCCTGCAGTTTCTTTGTCTTCTAACAGCTGCTTATGACTGTGCATTGTAAATTCTACCACCCTCTTGTCTGCATAAAACAGTTATGCACACAATCCCGCAGCGGTGTTTCCAGTGCCAGTGCAGAGAGGCATATCGCAGTTATGAAAACAGCTGTTGACTGAAAAGTGCCTGTTTTCAGTTTACCTAACGTCTACCTTGCGTTTACCTAATGTCTGCTGTCTATATAAGGGCCGGCACTGTGGCAAGCTGAGGGAGACTGCCTCAGCTTTTGAAGCAAGGAGGGGTATCAGAATAGGGTTCCAAGGGTCCTTCAGATAAGCTGGCACTGCTGCTGAGATTTCTCAGCTCATTTCTCTTGTTTTATTGCAGTCTGGGCTATACAAAAGATGTGGTGGGCCTGAATATTTAAACAAACGAGGGTTCAAGCAGGTGCATAGAGCACAGTCAGTGTAATGAAAAGAATAGGAAAATGATGCTTTAACTGTCATGATTACAAAAGATATGGCAATGCCTTGGATTCTTTTCTATGTTTATGAATATTATTGGTTAAAAGATAAAAAAGCCTAAGCTAAAGAAGGTCTTTGCACACTATTTAATATGATTTGCATGCTACAACATGGTAAACAACAAGGGTTCTGAGCATTGTAAGTCTAGTATAATAAGCATAAAGTATAATGTATAATTCAATTTATAATTGAACACAGTTGAATATACAGTTGTATAATTCAATTTATAATTGAATACAGTCAAAAGCTGAATTGAAAAATTAACAAATTTTAGATTGTCTTAAATATATATATTTTTTGTCGCATTCTATATTTTGCTTTTTTTTTCAATTACATTTTAATTTTTAAATCTCAGATTTTCAATGTGTTCTCTGCATTTTGTACCCTACTGGTTTTGACGAACTGACTTTAAAACGTCCTTAACAAAAATTGAATGGTCTACATTTAATAAATAGTTTATGCTCTAGCTCTATTACATTCATTAATATTACATTAAAAGATGAAGAACCTAAATCAGTTCAAAATCAGCGTAAAAATCACAAGATGAAGTCCCAAAATGAATACTTCATGTTTGTGCGCTTTACAGGGAGACTGCTGGGAATTCTTCACAGGCCGATTCCCCGTGATGTGATCATTTTGCTATTGGTTACGGCAGCAATAACACCAGAGCAAGCTAACAGTATACTGTCCAGGATTTAACCTGGTGACAGGAATAGTGTGAGAACTCAACTGGACATCGTTTGATTGATTTAGACTGAGTAAACACACACACTGTGATTTTTATGAGGTAAAGTCTGTTCCATTTTTGACTTCACAGCAATGCGTGTGTAAAGGAATAAAACATAGAACTGGCCAAATTGTAAGGCAGACAAAAGCAATATATAATGTGCAATATATTATTGGCATATATGATCTGATATCTTGAGAGGTGTCATTATAAATAGAGGTCAGACACTTGTTGAATAAGGGTCATTGCTAAGAACATAATTTTCTGAAATGGCAACACTAAAATTCCTGTGACACAGCTTTAAAAACAATGTTGAAGTGT